GAGTCTGTTATCTTTGACCTTTGACCTCTATGGCGCGACTGCATTCTGCTACTGTGCTTTCATTTTATTCTTACACCAACGCACTGTTATCAGTGCATTTGGACCGAATATTCCTTTCTTGTTTAAATTTTGCATTTGTTTTGTTTACTTTCTTATGACACTATATTTTCAGCCGCTAATTACGTGTTACGCGTGCCGAAATATCACCTATCTAGATGAGTAATGTTAACTGATGTAGAATTAGATTAGAAAGGCGTTAGCGGTGGTCATATCAAAACATGAAGTATTTGACTATTGGCCTGAGTTGCGTGACAGAGTGTTCGGGTCCTCGAGACACGAAAAACCAATAGTTGAAGACCTTTAGTAACATAGGTTCCTTTTCCCCAATACATTTTTGTTTATTATAGTTCCTTTGCATGTTGTTTTCTACATTCTTGTGTAACTCATGAGATATGGACACTTGAACTGGTGCCCATTTTGTGGAAGGTTCTATTGTTAAAATTTCAGTCCGTCAGTCACTTAAAAAAATGAACGCTTCACGTATTAATGTTGTTCAAGAAAATTGTCACTTAAAGCACTGAATCTCAACACAATTTTCTGTGCATGGTCTTATAATAGTTTGGGACTAATTGACTGACTGGTTTCAACACAGAACTTTGCACAGAAGTGCAGCAGCGTGAGTTACCACACTCCATGAATCACACAAAGGAAAACAAAAGACAAAAAAGAGATTCAGAAGAACAATTATAAACAGAAACGTGAGGAAGGAAGAATAGTAACATCAAAAAACTTTGGGGGGGGGGGGTTAATGGATCTGGAAAGTCACAAAGAGTGGAATGCATCCACGCCACTAGGAACAATATTGATCAATATCACCAACTTTCTCCAGTCATTAGTTTGGTTCTTAGTATTCTGATGACCCAAACCAAGCAGTCTCCAGCTACCTGAGTGGCTGGCTCGATTCATGAACTGAATCCATGTTTTCGTTTGACCACCACTAGCCAACTCTTTTCCAACCTGATCCATCCTATGTCAGCCAGCCAGCATTGCCTGTCGAGGAAGGAAATGGATGGCTAGGCATACACAACACGTGCCCTAACCATCTCAATCGATTCACCTTCACAACCTCATTGATTGACTCTCCCTCCTTAATTTAATTAATTTTTAATTTTTTTTAAATTTTTCATTACAGCTTGATTCCACACCGTATTTCTTGGTACGGATATGGAATTTTCAGTATGTGATATCGGTGGCCCAAATTTTGCAGGCCGACCGCAGATATCAGGTGTACGTCGGCAGGGGATTGAACCTCGGACCATGTGCATGGTCGGCACCTGACCTCAATATTATTTACCCTATTACACCACTTAACAGAGGAGATAGAACGCAGACACCTATGATTAAAAACAGCAAACCTTTTTATATCTCCCAATTTCAGTGGCCATGTCTTACAGCCATAAAGGAGGACGAAGTGAACTACAGAGCAGTAAACACGTGACAATTTGAGGCTATTTAGCAGTTTACGCCTATTATCCTACTGGAGGTCGACCGCAGGATTATCATTTCACAAAACAAGTATACCACTATTATGTTACTGGATTGGAATCCATGATTCATGAATTCTAACTTCTATCAGTTTATCATACATGGCTGACATAAAGTTAACAACTGAAAAATACTCATTTTACTGCTTCCTTTGTCCAGTAAACACACATGTCACATGTATTCAATTATTTTTATTTATTTAGGAAATAAAAAATATCATTAGTAGTTACAGACAAAAAACAACAGATGTTACTTGGTTGGGGATAACTGACAACGAAGTTCATAATTTCCCTCTTTCTTTCTAGCTGGCACTCATCAACAGGACGTACCTACATCTCTAGTGAGTGATGAGAAGTGTTCCTACAGAGAGAGTAAAACCCACTACTTTTAGATTTTTTTTCCTTCACGTTCCCCAGTGGAACATAGGGCTTCAAGCTAGTGGCTTGAAGTTTATGTAGCAGTGTTTATTTTACAGGATGGGGTTGCTAGCCTCATGCCCAACCTTGCCTCTTCACCAGCATTATTTCTGGCTTAGCGAGGTAAAGGAGTGCGTCGGCCGGAGATCGAACCCCGGACCATGTGCATGGTTGGCGAGCATCCTAACCGCTATGCCACTGACGCACACTACTTTTAGATACTCAAATAAATTTAACAGATAAATATAATAGATTTAGGACACGTTATATCACTACAAGTATGTTTGAGGAATCAAAACAAAATATATAAAATAGTCTAATTATTAATGAATCACTCGGTTGTTCATTGCTGGTGGCTTGCTTGAATCTCACTAGGCTACCTGAATCTCCATCCAACAGAATGTATCAGATTTTCTCTAATTCTTGTTGTTTTAATCATTCAATTATGTCCTTGAGTCGCAGGATATACTCATGGATAGTTTTAATTGGCTTTCAACTTATTGTTGTGTATATCCCAGAGACAAAAGAAAAATATCATAAAAGATTGATTTGTAATTCAGAGTGAACAGCACTGAGTCACGTAATGTGCTATCGGTCACTATTTTGAATTGTTAGATTTCTTCACAAACCAACAGCAGTCAGAGATATCGTTGAAAACTAGAGAGCGCTGGGCAGATTTTTTCGTCCTATTTTGGGACTCTTCAGAAGTTTGAAACAATGACCTCACTTTTGATCGAACCCTAGACGTTCGGTTTACGACACCATGCTCGTTGCCCATGGGATTAATGGGGATTTAGATTGATCTGACTTCTTGTTAGGATAAAACAGCTGTTCAGTGTGCTCCCTAGTTTTCAATGATCTGTCTACTTTCAAATTAATCCAAATCCCCACAAATCCCTCAATATAAAGACCACTGCTTTGTCTGAAGGTCCTGGACGAAGAGGAAATACTATGAAATACATTACGCTGAGGATTCTGTACATTGTGTAAACCATTTGTCTAGAATAAAGCTATTACTATCCTAATTCTTAATCTACGACAATTAGAACTGAAATGAGATAACAGTTAACATACAGCAGCAGCAGCATGGTTGACAAAAGGAGAACGTAGAACAGTCAACAGCTCAATTCTGGACCATATTATTACTTCTGGTCATGCAGCATCAACAGAGACGTCTTTCAAAGCCATTTATAGAGTAAGACTAGGTCGTTCGAAAGGATTTCGCCTACATCTTCTCCACGCAACTGAAGCCTTAATAATCCTTAAGAAGAAACTTGAACTTTATATTCAGGAATGTTTTATCCAGTCTGTTTTATTACCATGGCCTTAGTACTACTTTTTTCCTTCTTATTTATCTTCCTGAATAACTGTATGTAGTCTGTTTTGTGCTTTTGCAACTCAATTTTAATCTTTGTTCTCTTGTCAACGATCTCCAAACGGTTATTCATCACTCAACTAATTAGTTGTCAACCCTCTTGATTGCATAAGACCAATCTCAATTTTTCAAACTTATACACTTTGATTTGCTTTGTTACTAACGGATTATAACCTTTGACCACTGTTTTCAATCTACATTGCATATATAAACTCACTCAATAACTGTACAGAATTGAAGTGAAGTTACGGAAGAGATCTCTTCCCTAACTCATTTGTTCTTAATAGAGTACTACTCATTCACATAACAGCTGGACACTACCCGTGATGATTGCATTAAAATGATAACCTTAACAGTTGGGCCATATTGATCAAATATTAAGCCATCGAACTAGTAATTCGAAGACCTCTAATCCTAATTCTTCGGTGAACCACCATTTCATTTCCCCTTCAGTCATTAGTAGTTCGCAAATCCAAGGCTGTTTCAGATGATCTCATCATCAATTGTATTATTATTGTTGTTGTTATTCCATTAGGTTCCGAACGGAAAACAAGGCTTCATCAGTATTTCATCCTGTTCACTGAAATCCTTTCTAGCCAACTTCACGAATGAGTATAAGTTTTCATCTCCTCATGCGATTTTCTCCATATCACCCTCAGACATACGCCCAACATGTCGCTTCCTATTCGGGTTCTACTCAGTAGTTTACCTGTCATGTAATGTCACTCAACGGTCTCCTCAGAGTGTGTTCAATTTATCTCCATTCCCCTCAGCATATTTTACGGTTGGGTATTAGGTTGTTGATTCGTTCGTTCCCAGAGATCCTCATTGCTAGTTCTTCCTGATCTTCGGTATCCAGTCAACGAAATCAGGAGTTTATGAAAGTCCTCAGACAGACTGTTAGAAATGCTTTTGGTGATGCACCAAGTCTTTGAAGCATAGAAAAGCACTAACTTGACAATAGTACTGAAAATCCTAATGTCGTTCCTTACACTGAATGCAACAAATTTCCACACTGATTTCGGATTAATGAATGTCTGCCTTGCCTTTTCGGTGCTGACTGGCTTTTAAATCCTCATCCATGCCAGTTCCTATAGTTGAAGCGAGGCTGCTGAAATAAGTGAAAGGAATGATTTCCTTCAAACTCCTCCCAGTGACAGTGAATGGTGCTTGTTGTTGGTGGTGATGGTGGTTGGTTATTTTCATCAACTCCATCATCTTTATGCTCACTTGAAGACCTGTCTTCACTGCTTCTCCTGACAATTTGTCGGTTTCCGCCTGCAGACCTCCTGGTTTGTTTGACATTAGACATACGTAGCCTACGAAGTTCAGATTTTCCAAAGTCATTTCGTTAGCCCACTCTATTCCTGTCTTCTCGCTTCCCACCGTCTGATGCATGATCCAGTCCATCACAATCACCTATATCATAGGGAATAGTAGGCAACCTTTTCTTATTATCGTCTCCACCCCAAAAGCACCGCTGAGTTTTCCGTTGTAAATCACTTGGCATGAAGCATAATCATCAACAGAATTCTTTGATTTTCATTCAAATACATTAGTGTTTCTTTTCACAAGTTGAAATTACTATCACTACTATTTTTCTCCTCTAATCACTACGATTATTATTATTATTATCATTGCTGTTGTTTAATTTTATATTACAGATATAATCCAATGGGTGTTGATATTTGGGCGTTAGGCATAACATTGTATACACTTGTTTTCGGTGAAAATCCTTTTCTTGATAAAAATGATATACAAATAGGAAATTTACAGATACCTTATAAATTCTTATCAGATTCATTATTACACGTATTCTTGTGCACATTAGAACCAAATCCACTGATAAGAATAACAGCTAGTGAATTAGAATGTTTATCATGGGTAAAACAGTCTGTAAATCCAGAAAATTATAAATTTAATGAAATTATTCAAAATCAATGTAAGTTGTTTAAAAAATGAATAATAAACATTTGAATATGGTTGATATATCATTTGCTTTTAAGTTAATATTTGTTTATTCTTTTTATGCATTCCAAGTGAAATAAAGAGTTTCAAGTTTTTTAAGCTGCAGGAGCAACCAACCAACTCTGTTTTCTGTGCTTACTATCGGCTAATAAACTAGCTGAGGTTTAGGAATGCATCGGATGGGAATCCAGCCAGGACTTCCTATGTGTCGGTGAACCACCACCAACGCACATGTGCGTTAATAATCTAAGACACAAACCCGCCAATAACATTGGCTGGTGGTCACGCTGAAAATCACAAATTGGTAGAAGTTAGAATTCATGTGCCATTGAGTTGGGTTCCAGTGGCTGAATGATCTACAAGCTTGCCTTGTAACCGGAATCTCCCGGGTTCGAACCCCGTTGGTGGGTGCTTACTGAGGGTGAGTCTCAGACTAGGACGAAACAGCTGTCCAGTACTCCTTGCTGGTTTTCAATAGTCCTCTAACTGATATCGTAATACGTGATCAAACTTGAACAAATCAAACCCCTACAGACAAACTTTTGCAAAAACAAAAGAAAATTACTATGCCGGTGTTATATCACCTGAGCTACAGGACCTAACAGGAAACCAGTGGTCATTTTAATAAATGATGCGTTACTGTCCGTTTATCTTCACACTAGCTGCACAGCTGGCTCTTTTACTGTCAATTTTCATCATAATGAGCTAGAAGAAGAGCATATTTATGAAAAAAATGTTTAAGAAAATGTGAAGACACCTAATGGGATACTGTTCTTTAATATGTGAGAATAATTACTAGTTCCTTATTGAATGATCGATAGAAAACTCAAACCATGTTCTATCCTTATATCCAACCAAATGACTATACATCATATCCTTTAGAACTAGGGTTAGGTTTGAGGTTAGAATCAGGGTTTAAGCACCTTTTGTCTAATTTCTACATCCGAAAGTATCCCCACCAGTGACCTGGAAATACTGTCTACATTTTCCAATTAAGCCATTATCCAGACAAAATTAGAAAGTTGTATCCAAATGACATGTTTCCTGTAAATTCTGAACAGCACACATAATAATAATTAAACTCGATTTAATATTTACGCCAGCATTTATCGATTACTCCAAGGTGATCTGTTTACTCGTTAGCTCCAAATAATTTAACTTTGCGGCTTATTCATTTAATCCTTACTGTCGTATTGGAAATGTTGAGTACTTTCAGACTAAATATAAACAGATAGCAATATCTCAAACGAATACATCTCTGTGGAGACATCTACATAACTCTAGTTGATATTACCTATTAGGTCCTCTAACAACACTAACTATTGCTTTTCAGACCAAGTTAAAGTATCACAATCGAAGAGTGCAGACGCACTGATGACTTTGAACGCATACGATTCGTTGGATAACGAGACCTACCATTATAATACCGCTGTTCATGAAGTGAGATGTAAAATTCATCCCAATCTCGTTTTTAAGCACTGTTTGGACAATGTGTTGATAGCTCATTATGGTTAGGGTTACCATTAGAGTTAAGTTTAGGATCACGGTTAGGCTGTTTTATTTTGATCATCCTCTTTTCTTTAGTAAATAGTTGTCGGTCATCTTACTGGAAGCCATACTAATTCAATCGAGGACTTTTTGAAGAGACTGGAAAACAGGGAAAGATCGATAAATCAGTCACAAAAATAACTCATATTCGGTTATCTCGATGAATACATACACAGAAACTGGTCTAACTGAAAAAATGATGCTCCTCATTATAATTAGGAGATATTTTTAAGTCGCTCCAGGAAAAACATCTTGTTTAATGTAATTTATCACAATTCTCTGTATTCCACTTGTAAGTTAACGTCATCTTAATGTAAAAACCACTGGTTTTTCTGATTGGTCGGTTACAAGGTCACTCGTCAGTTCGCATTCCATGGACCACTATAGTTTAACTTTGCCCGTCGTCGATCTTATTTTAATAGACTATAATGACACCTTAAGCAGTAAAGAGAAATTCATATTTTCACCAACTGATAACACGATCAAATTTTCTGATGACGAAATTAATTGGTTTGTTTTTCCGAGATTATTGGAAACTTGATTAACAGGATTCAAGGTCTAACGATGTACTGTATGCATCTAAGACATTCAAACGCATAAAGTTATAAGTGAACTAGAATTTGTATTTAATATGTTTGGATAACTTATCAGTAACAATATAATTTACACCGTCGACCAGATTCAGGAATATTTTAGACCAGAATATGGAAACTCCTAATATCTTATGAACGTTGTATATATGATCAAAGGATTCCGGCCTAATATAAACTACTTTCCGATAAAACTTCCCTCTACCAGGTTAATTCCGCAAGAATTTACACCTATGTCGCCTTCTATATTCTAGCTATTACTAATTGGAAAATAGGCGATAAGATTTCTACAAATCAGTGTGTAACTAGATGATTCATACTTGCATATAGATATGATAGACATTAACATAAATTAACGCCCACATTACCTTTATTCCTATTGGTTAAGACATTTTGAAATCAAGGTCATTCTATGCTCGTGACTAATTATTTGCATAAAATATTAATATTATACTATGCAAATAAATGTCTCGAATGTTAATCATCAAAAATTTAAATAGGTTTAATCAGGAATAGCTATTTTTTAAAAACAAACAAACAGCGCTTTGCAAAAATATCGCGAACAGGATAACATTTTTAAATGCTGAATTTTATGAAGTCGAAAATAGACAGACAAATGGACAAAAAGACAACAAAAATGATGTTTCAAGCTTGATCACGTACTGATATGAATTGGAGAATCATTGAAAACCGTCAAGGAGTGTTGGACAGTTGTTTTTTCCTAGTTTCGAACCTTCTGTTTATTGGGCTAGCTCACTGACCATTCAGCCATTCGAAAGGAATTCAGTGGCCATACCATGAATTCTAACTCCTGTCAGTTCGCGATTTTCGGCACCACTTACCGCCAACCAATGTCATCAGTAAGTATTTCTCCTAAAATCGAATCTATTGGATAAAAAGCTGTCCAGCTGTTATACTCTTTGCTGGTTTCCAGTGGTATTCCAACTGATATCAACTCATAATCAAACAAATCCTTGCAAACTAGCACTTGAAAATTGATGTTAGTTAGCACTGATACATAAACCAATTTGTCTCATCTTGTTTATTCTACCTTTTACAGCTTTTTCTGGTAATATTACCTGTGACTATCGTGTCAACAGTTCAGATTATTCCATTTAAAATTTATTAAAACTGGCCACTGTGGAATAAATGAAAGTATCACTACGAAGACGGCTATGAAGGCGACTATGACAACGAACCACAAAGACAAGAATGATGATCACATGCTACAAATAACTATCATTGATTTTATTTTAATTTAAATTATAATTAAATGATTATTGGCACAACTACACACACAGACACAAGCACATACACACGGAGAATGTGAAAAACATAATTCCTCATAATTTCTTTGACACATATTTTACCAAATACAAAAACAGACAATAGAGCAAACTTTCTTTTTCTGATTTCTAGCCGAAAAAAATGTATTTTATTTTATTCCTTTCTTTTTCTACAGAAAAAAATGTATTACCACACATATGTTATTTTGTAATTAATATTTTATTTAAGAAGAATGAATAGATTACAAGTCAAAAGGATTGCTTTTTCTTTTAAAATATGCGTTATATTTTCAAACATTAGCTTGTCAGGATTTGATTGGTTTGAAGTTTGATCATGGATTGTTATATCAATTAGAGAACCACTGAAACCAGCTAGGAGTTACTCTACTATTGTTTCGTCCAAGTTTACGACTGCTCTTCAGCAGCATACATCCATGACCGCCACATGGGATCAAACACTGTCACTTGGAAATTAACCTATTGCTCACTGATGATTGGCTACAAGACGAAATTGCCTGAAGCGCTCTATAGAGAAGTCATGATCAATGGGGCCCACCAGGTTAGGTGTGAGGACAAATACTCGCCGTTGATATCCCTTGGCTGGGGCAATGCTAAAAGTCACGAATTGATAGAAGTTAGAATTCATGATCTGACCAGTGAATTCTATCCCAGTGGCTGAATGGTGAACACAAGCTCAACTTGCAACTTGAATATCCTCGCAGTGGGGTCATGGGTGTGTCCTGTTGAACAAGTCCCAAACAAAAATGAAACAGCTGTCCAATACTCCGTGGTATTCAATGGTTCTCTAACTGACATAATATATAATAAATGATAGTAAACTGTGAAGAAATCATAGAAATAACAAAAATGAATTACATTATCCATCACTTTTCGACTATATATTAAAATTAGGATAAACTGATTTCGTTCATGCAAAAATTCCCATTAGAATGTATACAAAATTAAAAGAAGTGATTTGGTGAAGAGATTCCTTTTTAGCGAATTTATTATCAAGCTGTACAATCGTATATGTATATTTTTTCTCAATAATAATTATAATATGAATCGCTACAAAATATTTGCGATTATAAACAGTTTAAAACGAAGCGACAAAAGTTGGTTATATACTTCATAAGATACTCCACCATATGTATAAATCTTAGAAGGGGGTGTAGGGATAATAAGACTACTAGGCAATTGAAACTTAAGTAACAAGGTGGGAATTACGATAAGATTGTGCCGTACGCCCTACTACTTCACTCCCTAGCTTAGAGATAGGGTGTGGCGTGTTGACCACTTCACCTATTTGGGAAGTTACATCAACCAACGAAATCACAGCACGGATACAGAAGGCTCGTTTCGCATATGCCAGTTTACGCCGTCTCTGGAGTAAACGTGATATCCGGCTAGCGGGCTGTCGACCAAAGGACGTGTGTACTGCTCAGCGTAGTAGCTCGCTCTGTTCTCCGCTATCTATGTCTGTGAGACATGGCCATTGAAAGTGGAAGATACGAAAAGGCTAGCTGTCTTTGACCATAGGCGTCTGCGTTCTATCTCTCGTGTTAAGTGGTAGGTGTAATGGGGTGAGCAACATTGAGCTTAGGCGTCGGTTGAGTGCTAGCTAGATAAGGAGGGGAAATCAATCGACGAAGCTGTGAATTTACATCAACTGAGATGGCTGGGAAATGTGTTACGTATGCATGCCTAGCCATCCATCACCTTCATCGACGGGTAATGTTAGCTGACTGATATAATATATATCAGGTTGGAAAAGAGCTAGTAGCGGTCATCAGTCAATGAAATCCACAACAGTTAGTTTAAGCCAGCCAGCCACGTAGGGAGGTGTAGACTTTCTGACTGGTTGGGGTCCTCGGGATGGTAAAAACCAATTAAGGCTGGAAACAGACAATTGGTGATATGACTCAAAATCATCCTCAATGGCTGGCGCAGAGGCATTTACTCTTTGTGATTTGTCATATCCAATAAAACTCTATTGTTCTTCCATATTACTATTCTTTTTGCCTCATATCTCCGTTTTTAATCTCTTTTTACTTTCTTCTCTTGCTTTGTGTGCTAAGTGAAGTGTGGCAACTCGAACCGCTGCACATTTGTGCAAAGTTTTACGTTGAAACCAGTCAGTGAGTCAGTCAGCCAAAAATTATATTGAATTAAATAAATAATATTGACAAATAATAAAATATCGATAATTGTTCGAAGTGAAAGTAGTAAAAGCAATCAAAATAATAAAGGCATACGTCGAGGAGGCCGTCGAATGACATCACGCGCCAGACCCTCAAGTGCAATGGAGATCTACACTGTTGAAGTTTTATATTCCCCTCAGAACCTAAGGGGACAATAAGTATAGTAATAATAATAGCTCTCTAAAGACGTTGTCTAAAGGCGCTGGGATAACCAAAGCTTCGCAATTATAGAATAAAACATCCGCCAAGAAGAATGCTAAAATACTACAAGCAAACGATCGTCGCATTCCCTACCTATTATATTCAATACCTAATGAACTTACACGGGACTAAATGAATCAATCAACACACGAAATACACACACACAGAAACGAACAACGGGAGATGACTACGACAGGGGATTCATTTTTTTTTAAATGTACATAATTTGATAACACTTTCTCTCTCTATATATATATTTTTATTCTCTCTTTGCATCAGGTTATAATAATGAAAATAAAAATTCACATTTGTATACACACACATATATATATGTACACAGGAACATGCACAGAAGCACGTACACTCTCAAACACGCACACACACACATTATAGATTTGTGTAAGCGTATTATACACAAAGAGAGAGGACAGAAATAAAGAAGCAAATAGTCTGGAAATATACACAGGATCAACTGAAGAAGAAGGGGAAAAAAGGCAGAAGGAGACAAATAAATAGAGGGAGAGAGTTCTTTTCTTTGTTATCTCAGTGAACAAAAAGACAAATGAAAAGAGTTCAATAGAAAAAGAAATAAAACGAAACAAAACACAAAAGAAAAGAAACAGGGGGGATGTCCCCCACCCCCACATTATTCATCAATCAACTTTTAATGAGTTGAACACAATCATCAAATGAAGACGTAAAGTCAGAAAAATAAGCAACAAACAAGTGAGGCGGGAAGAAATGAACACAACGGTGTTATCGTCGTTAAACAAGCAAGCATGCATGCAAGCAAGCAAGCCAGGAAGCAAAAACACAAAAATAGTAGATAAATAAACAAAAATAAGTGTAAAGACAGACAGGCAACCTCTTTTGTATAAGTTAATTTCTAATAAATCTGACTCAAAATAGAGTATAATTTCATATATATGTATAATAATGATATACTATTAGCCACCAAATAAATGATGATTGTGCAGTACAACTTGATCTCATTTTGGCTTAGTCATTCCAACCTTCTTCATTTTTTTTCTCAAAAACCAAAAGTAATACATGAGCAGTTGGATACGGAGAGAAAATTAGTTAACATAAAAGACCGATACAGGGAATAATGAATGTTTTACATTGTCGATGTGAATATGAAAGTAATACATGTAGTTAGTGTGTGTGTCGGTCGCTGGGTGTAGGTATATGTAATAAGGCAGAAAGGTTTTCTGGTGTCTTCAAGAAACTGAAAAATAATAATGATAAATATATCATCAATGTAAGGAGGAGAGTTGTTTGCCCCCCCCCTACTTCCTTAATTTTTATCAGGAGAAAATGATAAAATAGAAAAATTGTCATAACATATTGGAAGTGCACCACTGTTGCTGCTGTTTTTGGTAGTAGCAACAGCGGCGAAAGTGGCATTGTTGTTGTTATTCTTCGATGTCAGTATACATCCTTACTCAATAGGATAGATAATAGAGCAAAGGTGTTGTGAATATTTAACAGATCGTAGCAAGGGGGAGGGCATCAGCAGCAGTTAACAGAAGAAGAAAAGAGACAGAGGGGGGGGGAGAGATTGCATAAATACAATTTTTACACGCACGCACACACTCACAGTATCACATACATACAATCTGTGAGCCAATAAATGAAGAGTGAAATACACATTCACACACACACACACAAAATGCAAACCCGTCTGTCTTTCAAGATGAATAAGGGTATTCTTCGTTTGTTTGTTATTTTTAATATATATAAAAAAACGAAAGATAGACACTAAGGAGAACTCTTCGTAGTATGAAAGGTGAAATAAATAAAAAATGTACACATATTCAACCATGATTTGATTGATTGATTGATTGACTGATTGATTGATTGGTTATTATCTATCTATGGGAATAACATGTAATTGTTTTGCTGGTTGTGTTTCACTTTTTAAAGGTTTTGGTTCATTTGTCATGTCATCACGATTATTTTTCAGTTTATCACGATGTAGAAAGTATAATAAGATAAAGTAAAGTAGAAGACCAGATCCCTTGACAATTATTCCAAGACCTGAAAGTATAAGAAAGTAAAGCCAAGTGAACTGTTTAATTTAAATGAAGATGTCCAAAACGATCGATCTGTCTGAAACTTTTCCTTAATGTTTTATATGTAATTTATAAGAAATGATATGTTCACTAGTTAGATATTACTTTGTCAAACATGTTATTTTTACGAGTTGATCACGGATTGATGCTCGCTAGTGACTTGCTACAGGATGGAGTTTCCTGGAGTTCTAGTGAGAAGTCGTGACCAGTGAGGTCCAATTAGATGTCACGTGTGTGGATGGATGGATGTCCCACCAACGACAATGGTTGGAGTCGCGCTAAATCACAAATTGGTAGAAGTTAGAATTCATGGGTTGGCCATTGAATCGGGTCTCAGTGGCTGAATGGTATGGGAGCTTACCTTGTCACCGGGAGGTCCTGGGTTTGAATCCCAGTGGGTGCACACTGCCGACGATTCCCAAACTAGAATGAAACAGCAGCTGTCCAGTACTCCTTGCTGGTTTTCAATGGTTCTCTAACTGATATCAATCCGTGATCAACTCGTAAAAACATAACTAACCCTTACAAACCGAACTATAGAAAACATGTTATTATCAAACCAATGAGGTTAGTAGAAAGACAATCATTCACAAAGTTCGAATATCAGCTCAACTTCAAATGCATGCGCTCTATAAACTTCTCATTGTTAATCACTGTCCCACCTAGAGATATTCTAAGCTCTGTATAACAAAGGGTTTACAGTCCGTACCGCGCGCCTTCAAAACATTTCCCATGAATTTCAATTTATGATATAAATGTTGCACTGACTAGTAAGAACTGTAATATCATACAACTTCATGAATTATAAACCACCTACAATGGTATCTACCAGGAGAATTCACCACACACACACACAATTATTATAAAGTTCTACATGGCTACACAGCATTACCATCAGTAAACCAAACAAGTTACCACACATCTGAAGATCAAATGGCCAGGAAAGATCAGCAACAAAGAACACTGTCAGGCAACGCACCAACCAAGAATCTATTTGCTAAACGAATATGCACAAGTAAATGCAGCTGAACTGAACATACACTAAGAGAACCAGTGAGTAACATCACTCACTAAGCTCTCAAGGGGAACCCGAATGGTAAACGACGAACGAATTGAGCATATGAGGAAGGGTGAGGCAAAAGATCATGTGAAGAGGAAATGAAAGTTTATCGGCAATCATAGATCCAGCTGTGCGTCGGTGGCATAGCGGTTAGGACTCTCGCTAACCATGCACATGGTTCGGGGTTCGATCCCCGGCCAGAGACGCACTCCTTTACCTCGCTAAGCCAGAAATAATGCTGGTGAAGAGGAAAGGTTGGGTATGAGGCTAGCGACCCCATCCTGTAAAAGAAAACACTGCTACAGAAACTTCAACCCACTAGCTTGAAGCCCTATATTCCACTGTGGAACGTGAAGGAAAAAAAATAGATCCAGCTAAAGAGACCTGTAAAGAATATGATGAAGCGGAGATGTGCTGTTGAGGCCTATATCTCACTTGGAACCCAAGATAATAATAATAATTTTTTATCGTTCATTAATTGATTCATATTGAACCGAAATGCTCGGTCTACATTGAAATGTCGGCAGCTGATGTGTACGCCTTCACAATGTCAACACACACCAAGTATTCCGGGATCCACTACAGTCAATCAACAACAAATACAAATTAAACACGAGTGATACTAGTTGCATAAGAGATGGCTCACTTTGCCCAGCGGATAACAGACTGGTGTCTGAAACCATGGGTGCTGAGTTCGAGTCTCAGTGGGTACATCCACCTGGAAAGTTTCAAAGAGGAGGAAATCAACGTTGTAGATTCCACTGCTAGCTACAATCAATCAAAAAACATCACAGGTGACATCTGTGTTTCAATGGTAGAATTTTTGTCCATCAAGGTTCGATTCCCGATAGACACACTCATCAACCTTGCTTAGTCGGTAATACGCCCGGCAGAGAAGGAACATTGGGCGTGAGGGTAGCATGTTTGAATGCTGTCCACATATAGATTTCAAATTCGCCAACTAAGTAGAGTCTCCACCCCTCTCCTCGCTAAGTGTGAATCGTAGCCTGATAAATAAGAAACCTTTCCCGGATAACTAAGGTCTAACTAACTATCTGCATATAAACTCCGCTAATCATCATTATCATCATCATAACACACAAGACAAAGAGTTCTTCTATTAAGTCAATTTAGCCGTAAGATATATAATTAACTACAGAAGACAGGCATAAAGCATAATTGATGATAAATTAAACTATCATTAAGAAATTCAGTCAGCTATATACATAAAAAGCCATTTTGAAAGTACTTTTAAAGAAAATATTAAACATAAGAATAGTATACCAGTATATGACACTGCAATACCAACTTACCTGTCATATATAAATTTAAATATCGTACATCAACAAATGCACAATCCCCTTGACGACCACATTCACTTCGCCAAAAACGACATGCACCATCAATTACACGACCAAATACTATTGGAGATGGTAAATTAGCTAAAAAGCGTACAATGACAAATTTCAAGCCTAAAGCAAATGAACGTTCATTATGTCCAACTGAACGCATTGTAACCATTAATAAAGGATTTTGTATAACACCAGTTAAAAATAATAACCAAGTTAATACAATAACAAATGGTATAAGACGATTACACTGTAGATCACATTCACCAAGTTTTGTAATACCCCAGATATTACTGGTGGTGGTGTATGAAATATTATTACGATTACTGGATTGTAATGTACAAGAACAATTGTGAAACTGAAAGGAAAGAAAAGAAAAGAAAGCAGTTTAACGATTTTTTCTTCTTAATTGCTGGAATATAATTTCGATAAATATACAATAAATTTGTAAAACAAAGACACCTTTAAATTCACTGTCTGAATAGTACCATGATCGTCTTGTAACCAATGGGGCCTGGATTCAAACTCATGTGGGTTCAAAGGTATGTACTGAAGAAGAGTCCCAGTACTCCTCCTCAGGTGTAAGCTAGTGGTTCAATGATAGAATGCTCGTTCGATTCCCCACTGCCAAACTCTTAAATCTTGCCTAGCCTACTATTCGTTAATAAAGTCGGTAAAGAAGGGGAGCTTCGGAGCGTGAGGCTATTGACCCCACCCCGCAAAAACAGTATCACCGTTAAATGTGACTTCAAAGCTTGAAGTCTTATTTTCTAGGAAAGAGAAAATCAAGTCTAACTAATGTTATTATTGATAGTTTGAGAAAAAATGAACGTTGCTTATTTACTTACATATGAGTTAAAATTATGCAGTATATACCAGGATGTGAGTCATGTTTATTGAGTGAGAAATTGACCAAGCTGAGTTAGATCAAGCGGGATTCAAACCGGAGACACGTAGATAAAAACTCGACTTTATTTTTATTATTTATTTTATCCCTTTACATTCCCAGTGGAACATAAGGCTTCAAGCTAGAGCTATGAAGTTTCGGTGGTGTGGTGGCTAATCTCACGCACAGCCTTCCTATTTACCTGTCTCATTACCGGCTTAGCGAGGTTTACGAGTGCGCCGGCCGGGGATCGAACCCTGGACCACATTGCGTCTGTCTGTTTTCGACATAGAACTTTGCACATATGTGCCACAGTTCAAGTCGCCACACTCCCTCCATATAGCACACAAAGCAACAGAAGAAAGTAGAAGAAATGCATATTAGAGACAGTAAACAGAGGTGTGGGACAAAGGGATAGTAATAACAAAGAACAATATAGTTTAATTGGAAATCATAAGTCACAAGGAGTGGATGCATCTACACCAGCCATTGAGAACCGTTTTGAGCCATGTCACCAATTGTTTCCAACCATTGGTTTTTACCGTCCCGAGGACCCCAACCAGGAAGTCGACACCTTCCCACGTGACTTAGACTAACTGTTGTAGATTTCATTGACTGGTGCCATGTTTTCGACCACATTGCGTGGTCGGGTCCCGGTGGCTTAATGGTCTACGAGATCGCCTCGAACCCCAGTGAGTGCGTACTTCCGAAGAGTCCCAAACCAGGACGAAATAGCTACCTAGTACTCAAAAACTCAACTGCTAAAGTCAAATAAGCATATCTCTTAAGACAAAAGCATACATTCTTGTTTATGCTTTTGAAACAAGAGATTCCATTTCAGATCCACTTAGTAAACTACGTGTAATCAACTAGTATGATCCATTGTTATCCTTTTAAACACTTGTCTGTCTCAGTAAAATAGTACTTCTAATATTCGATCGATTAAACTTCCTCAGATGTTATAAATAGAAGTGATAATAATTCTCCACACTGAATTTCACTATAGTTGACTGTCTTACTATCATAAGTCAAGAAAGTGACTATATGTGACAGTGCTTTAAGATCAAGCAAAAGTAGGCAAAGTGAAGTTTAACATCAACTGACCGCATGAAGAAAAAACACTCATTCGTTCAAGTTTTCGTTAAGACGCTTAAACACTAAATGTATCTCACAGCCTAATAAATACAAGAAAATTGCAACAGCTACATAGTTGCATTATAAGAAAAAAATATTAAGAAAACTACGACAGCACACGATATCTCACATAGTATAATAAGATCATAACAAAAATACTAACTGGAGCAGGATCTTGTTAAATGACTTAACAACTTAGACGGTGAAAGTAATTACCTCACTATTACAATCTCAACATAACTTAGTTTGTAGGAAAGACAATATGTCACACATGATGCTATATACAACTGATTGGTTGATATGAGTAGTGGGTACCGCTTACACCAACCAATTAATTTGTAAATTGCCGATTTTATAGGATTCATTACTACTTAACCGATGTAGGTAGCCAGAATTCGGTTGGTTTGAGATGACTCAACTCTCTGAGATGAGTCATACCGGTTACACAACTGATGAACCCCACCCAAAACGAGAAGAATGGCACTTCAGTGTTTAGATCGCTGCTGATATGGCTGAAAAGTACTACTGGTTGATATGAGTGCTATTCAACTACTCATTTCAAATAATTAGTAGTATATAGCACCGTACATTTATGCTTGCTTTCTTGATTGCTATCCATTGTATCAAGCAGATCACATGTGTTGTGATTTGAATAATTTCAGTCTCCAACGGAAACTGTCAGTCACCCTGTGAAATGTCACCCCCGCCCCCTCCCGTCAAACTGTGTCAATTTCAGATTGTGAATTAATTTGCAGGTTGCAAATATGTCGAAAAATAATGAACAACAGTCATAGTATACACAGAGAGGAATCGAAGTGTTAAGCTAGGTGAAATATAACGCATAGTTGCAGCTACAGATGTGTGATGCAAATCATCGTAATTTTGCATATTTTATTCATTAACAATCTGCTAATGACTTAAGGAATCTTATTATCCTTTTTTTTGTTTTACTAACCTTGCCTATTTTGCATCACGTATATAATTGCAGTGATTCGTTGCATTCTACTAACATCTCGATTCACTTCTCTCTTCCTCTCTCCCTCGGCTCTTAATTACTGTTCGACATTTTCTTTCTTCTTCAATCAGCTACAGTAGGCTAAAGTTACAACAACAACAACTAATCACTTTCACTATCCAGTTTGTAAGTCAGCTGATTAGATATGCAGGAAATAAAATGAATCAGTTTTATCGTCCCACCCCCCAGTTGTTGTTGCTGTTGTTCTTAATTCTTTGTTCAAATTCATTAAGAGGGAAACACACACACATTAGATATCTTTGAAGGCTCAAAAGCAGTGGTGTTATTTTTACGGGGTTTGGGTTTCTAGCCTCAGACCGTGAACCTTCGACTAGGCGAAGTTTAGGCGTTCTTCATCAAGGGATCGAGGCTGAATCACCCACGTGGCTGGCGAGAATTCTACCATTGAACCACCGACGTACAAAGTGTAATCCAGCCAGTAGACCACTACTGGGCCACAAAATCTGGCAACATCCGGTATTCCCAGAAAGTCAGCCATACAAATACTAACCGAACCGAACCCAATGGTGTTTAACTTTTCTAATTGGACAAGAAACAGTGTTTACAACGTGATATGGTCTCAGAAAAAGCACTCCAATGCCAAGCGTCGAACCCAAGTCACTTAATTGAAAGTTAGAGAAACCAACCGTTAGCAAAATTTCAACTAAATGGGGACATTTTCCATAATATGTGATAATTAATTATCTATTAACTGAAATGATATATCTTACTTTTAACTTAATTTATGTAGTGGTAACGATAATAATTAAAAGTGAAATGAAATATCTGGGGATTCGAACCAACAGGTGTCTACGAGTTACTAATCCAGGGGGCTTTACTGGGTGCTGTACAAGACTCGACTTCTAAGCAGATTATCACTTGATTTCAGCCATTGTGTGCTGCAGTGTCTAGTTGTCATATGAGCAAATTATACATCCCTGTTCATTTATCATACCACTAGCTGCCCAGATAATGTAATTGTGATGACACAACAGACACATACAGTCGATGATGATTGCAGTAGAATGATAATCCCGTTAGCAGGCGTATGTTTTATACCTCATCTGGTCAACAGCTCCGAACTAGTAAGCTGAAAGCCACTCCTAACTTCAGTTCTTTAACCAACCTGCTTTGCATCTTCCCTCAAGCAAGCGTAACATCAATATCAGTGTGAAGAAATTGAAGATTTTCTTAGACAGCCTCTCCAACAACAAAAATATACCCTTATAATATATACATATATATAAACTTACCTCTTGTTGAGAATTGTTCGATAGAAATCGTTGTGTACAACCAGCATAACAAGGTGATATATATGTGATATCCGAAGGTGTATGACACACTGGAGACCATTCATTTTTATCACACGAACAACCAGCATTACATCTTGATGACATTTCATATGCAAACGATGGACTAAATTACAAATAGGTGTGAAGGAGAACAAAAGAAAGCAAGTAAGTATATGATATTATTTAAGATAAATTATCACTTACTACTAAATAAATAATATAAATATGAAAATAAATTGGGCTTTATGAATTGTTTATTAACAGCATTATCATTGATATCCCCTTGGGTTCTGAGTAAAACATAAGGCCTCAACAACACACCTCCATTTCACCCTGTTCTTAAAAGTCTTCTTCAGCTGCCTCCATGATTGCCCATAAGCCTTCACCTCCTCCTCAAACTATCTCCTTCATGTCACACTCCGACAGACGCCCAACTCATCGTCTCTCATTCGGGTTCTACTCGAGGCCAGCGCCTAGCGTGTGATGTCAGTCTGTGGTGAGAGCTGTCTGCTAGCCGAAATTGGTAGACAGCAATTTACGTCAATGTTTACGTCCCAAATATTGATCATGAGAAAAACAAGAACAAAGACTTTGCGTGGGCGGATACGATTCGCAGATAGATGGTCTGACCTTCAAAGAAACGGCCACAAAGAGATGACAGATTAACTTTCAGCGGGAGAACAACCAATCAGAAGATGCTGTTTCTCTGGTAACAATAAACTATAATAATGTACATAAAAATATATAAGTATCTCTTGATTTTCTCAATAAACGATCTGTTGCCTGGCCCTTGTCTTCTGATGTTACAAGTCAATGGTATCCATCTTCTTCATTTCCCTCCACATATTTGCTAGTTGAGCAATAGAATCTTGGTTAGTTCGTCCCTTGCCATAGTTCCATGTCACTTATCCTTTCTCTCTGGCCACTGGCTTTTAATATGAATACATCTGCGCCATTGATAACGACTTTGAGCCATATCTCCAAAATCCTCAGCGTATCGAGGGGATCGCAAAAGCAGTCTACAGCACCCTAAATGATTCAAACCAACAGTAAACGACTTCATGAATTGATAATGATCAACAATCACCTGAACAGTAATATTTCAATTACAGGGAGCATGGATGACAATGTCAAAGCAAGACAGATGCGTTTATTACTCTAAAATCAATATGGAAATCTGAAGCACTCGGCATAAGGAATAAAAATTTTTTTAGTGTAGCATTAATTCCAACCAAGTCTGTATGGTTCACAGACTTGTTGCACACATCACCAAGAGCGTTTCCAACAACCTACTACAGACTTTCACCAACATCTGACTTTGCTAGCTCGATGCTGAAGATTAGGTAATCAGAAAGGTTACAAGGAACCCTGACAGACAATCAAACAACCTATTACCCAACAGATATCCAGAAGGATTTGGAGATGGAATGAACATACACTGAAGAGACATTCAAATGATATTAAACTCCAGGCAAGCCCTGAATGGGAAGTGACGAATGAGGCATGAGTCCAAGGATAACATAAAGAGGATCATTAGAGGAGGAGGAAACAAAAGCGTGTAGGCTGTTGTGGAGCCAGATGGGAATGATGGCAATAGAGGTGTACCGTTGAGACCGTGTGTTTCACTCAGAACTCAACAAACGAAACATAATAATTCCTCAGTCAGTATATGCACAATAGTCAATCTCTCATCTGACTGTCTTATCCCCATACTGTGAAAAGTACTTTGTCTTTTAATTAATAAGGCTATAGAATGAGTAAGGTGTCACACAACTACTAAATTTAAAATAAGTAGTTCCCTTTATGAATTTAGATAAAGCAATAAGCAGACGTAATTTGAGCCTTAGTAAGGTGCCTCTTCAGTAGAATCCAACGAATATGCACCGAAGACACACTTGACGAAGAAGAAAGAAAGTTGACACAAACTCTGGTTGATAACAATTATCCAGACAAGTTCATCAGGAGATATAAAGTAGTCAGAACAACAAGACCCACTCTACAACTCACCCTTAAGAAACACGTGTACATCAAGCTACCCTATATGGGGCATCATAGTAGCTTGATAACTAGACAAAGACTGAACGGTGCAGTCAAAAAGACTTCTTATGCAGGTAATATCATAGTAATAGAGAATGTGAAGCCAATATATCCATATTAGCCCTTCGAACATGCGAAAAATGACGTCACATCCCACTGTATTTACCAATTTGAATGTACGTGTGGACTCATCGATCCCTGCAAGTAAGGACTTCACAGCATATTCCTAAATGGCACCAGAAACTAATGGAATATTCAGAACCCATTAATGGTGAGAACAGGAAACCTAGCTCCTCTATTGTTGCGTGACCGCAGAGCCCAGGGGACAACTGCTTGAGGCCAGTCACACACGGCCTGTTTTTGTTTGTTGTTTTTCATTTGGTGTGTCTCAGTAGCGTATTTATCACTTCTGCCCTGTGACACGGCAGCAGAAAGCGCGGTCGTTGTTAATCCGGGCCCCGACCGATCCGGCATGATATTTTGTGATTTATTTGAAGTCATAGGGTTGGATTGGGTAACTGCTTTTAGTCTAACCGCTATCCAAACAACCTTTCTGGCATGGTAGGACCTGCAGGAACATAAGTTCCAGCCAGTATAGCTTGTTGGGTCATTGCGGTGTTCAAGCCCGACCACCACGTCAAGGTAGCAGCTTTCGGTCGCGGGTTGGGGCCCTCGGGACTCTAAGAATCAATGGCTGGAGACACTAGGTGATATGGCTCAAAATCGTTGTCAGTGGCGCAGATGTATTCAGTCTCTGTAATCTTTCATGTTCCTTTCTACCATTACTCATTATGTTTCACTCTTATACTTATCTAAATTCTATTGATTCTCTTCTCTCATTCTCCTGTCTACCTTTGTGTGCTATTTGGAACGTGGCAACTCGAACTGCTGCACTTCGGTGCCAAGTTCTATGTTGAATCCAGCAGCAGCAGCAGCTCCTCTATTGCGAAACATATTACAGAGACAGGACATTAAAATGGGTGTTTACACGTCTTTTAATCCTATCTGTAAAACATATTTGGGGGGTATCCTAAAGTTTGTGGAAGCCCTAGCAATTAGAAAGTTTAAACCATCTTTATGCGTTCAAAAACAATTCGTCATCACACTAAACCTTCCTTGGTAAACCTTGTTTTGATACCAGTCAGGGCAGATGTACTATTACCTCTGCTATTTGGTTTAGTGATCTTCATTTTTATTTTGACCTTCAATACGTTCTTTTAACTTGACCTAAGTCTATGTTCTCCCCTCTTAACTCTTTATTAATTTCATATATATACATATATATATATATTTCCTATGACAAGTCCGTGTGTGATCAGACTGTTCGAAATGTGTTGCGCAAATAGATTACACGATTCAGGCGAATTACGTCTTCTTATTGCTTGAACTACTGAATGCCAAATTGTAGTGATTAATATATTCAACAGAAACATACAAGGCATGTTTAGAATTAAATGTCAACTGACTTGAGGTTATATTTATAATCTACATTTGTACAGTTATATATCAAGTTAATCATCTCACACATGTGATGATGATGTTGATAGTGATGATGATAATATGCAAAAACCACCATAGTCGACTGTCAATACCAGAAATATGCCAAAAAAAAGGAATTCAGTGGAGTTAAGAAAAACAGACCCCCAAGTGTTTCGATATCTTCCCTCTTCCCCCGCCCTCCTTCTCCTCCCTACTACTACTACTACTACTACTATCATCAGATCACAAGACCGACATTAATATAATGCAAGAGTAGAATGATTTCTCTCTTATCTCTTATCACGCATACATACATACATACATACATATAGGGCATAAAACCCCGTTTTTGACCGGGATTTAATCAAGAATAGGATTATGCAACAGCGGGCAGAAGAAGATGTAACATATACGTATTCCTCTCTCCTCTCTCTCTCTCTTTCTCTACCTTTCTATCTATTTATATATCTCTTACATATAATCTCTCTCTCACTCACCCTAACTACAACCGTGAAACTAAAAATAGTGAAATCAAGCAGAGATATGCGAGTGAGTGACTGAATGAATGAATGAATGAAGGAACACATGAACAAATTCTCTAATCATCAACAGTTAAATAATAGTAACAACAACAACAATGATAATATATTGTGTGAATACAACCCATTTATCCCTTTGTTTTCTTCTATCCAACAAAATAAACACACATACACAATTTTTATGATTAAAGGAAAACAAAAGTTGTTAGAATCTCTATTTTTATATGTTGATTTGTTAATGATAGAGAAACCTTAAAGTACTGTAACGGTGGGAGACAAGAGACTTGGTAAAGAAGTGTTTATTTCGTGTTGTGCTAATTCTAACCTTCATATTGTGTGTGTTTCTTTGTGTTCCTTTCACGTCTCCCATGGATCATTTGCTTTCTCTGACATTAAATCTATCTATCTCCCTGTTATTAGATGTTTTTATGCCGATGAAAGTGTCCTTATATACTACTGATAAATCTTATCACAGTAGCACTATCTATGTAATTCATTTGATACAAATGAAACATTTTCAAGAATTAGTTTATAAGGGGGAGGCAACTTGTGATCACACTTGAAACAAATCAAAACCCTAGAAACTCACTAGTGACTAGGTAAGGAAAAAAGTTGTCTAGAGTTCTAGTGAGTGGTTGTCACCAGTGGAGTTCACACCAGGTTGGGTGTGAGGACACATGTTCACCGATGACAATGCCCGGCGGTTGTGTTTAATTGTCGAATTGACAAAAGTTAGGTTTCAAGAGTCATTAAATCCCCGTCCAAGTGACTGATTGGTCAATGGGCTTGTCCTCGTAGCCTGAAGGTCCTGGGTTCGACCCCCCAACGGTAGGGTTATGAGTGCATATGGCTGAATAGTCCCAAACTAGGAGGAAACAAATGTCAAGGACTCATTGCTCGTTTTTAATGGTTCTCTAACTAACATCAGTCCGTGATCAAAGTTGAAATAAACAAAGCATTTATATGCTTTCTAATATTAGATCCGCGATAGACACAAATAAACTATGGATATGTTCCATTACACTTCCGTCTTTTTCCATTGCAACACAACTCGCATATTGTCTTTAGA